GCGACCATCTTGCGCGTAATTACAGTAGCTTCCGTCACGGTTTGAGCCCTGGTCATCGTCCCCGTGCATAATACTTTATAATATACGGCGGGATTCCAAAAGTGACTCGTCATGCGGCATAAATACTTTAACGGCGGCGGCGGCGGCAACGGCGCATCGTCCACCTCATCGCCACGTTCTCCTCCGTCGCCGCTGCTGCACCTGATACTTTCCCCCGGCGAGCTGATGAATTTCTTTTTTAATCACCGCCGCGTCTCGCGCCCGAAAGTACAACGTCACCTGTTGGCCTTTGCCATCCGCCTTTGCGGCTCTCTCGATGCGGCGATTCGCCACGCGAATTCGCGCACGCACGCACGCAGGAACACTGGCACACGCAAATGTATAACGAAGTGTGTACGAAATCGTTTTTAGTGCGCGCGAAAAAGAGACACACAGAGAGAGAGAGAGAGAGAAAGAGAGAGGACGAACGACAGAAAGGTGAATCTGGGGTTCGTCTTTATCTTCATCTGCGACTCGCGCAGAAGAGACGTTTTATCGGAGACGCGCTTCCCTGATTTCAACCTGACATCGTATAAGCGCGTACCCTTTGAAACATGATTATCAGAATGGTGAGCGTTGCGAAAGTGCTCGCGACAACCCTCGGCGTTCTGGTCTATTAAAACTGCGTTAGTTCCCATATTGTCTTGCAGACGAGGTTATCAACGCTAAGACAGTGCGCAAAAAGTCTGTTTACTCGGCAGGCGAGTAATTATAACGGCGTACGCTTCATTAATCTTTTTTCGAACATTGATGGGCGGAAAATTTAATGCCGCTCGCTGAGAAGAGGGAGAGAGACCGGCATAATTCGATCGTAAATTATTCTATAAACTGGCTCCCTGGCGGGTCCGCGCTTAATCCCTTATTGGTGTTCATAGAAATATTTAAAAGGTATTACGAAGATGTGTAAATTCATATATAATGGCTCCGCGGCCAGCCGGAATTATCGGCATGCCGGTTTAATGAACTGGATTACATTGAGGAGGGGAAATCAAACACATCAGAGCTAAGTGGCGCAAAAATAATATTGCCGCCGGAGAGAATTGCGGTAAAAGAGAGACTGAACTGAAAGAGATGATATCGTTTCGTTTATCGCCGGGATTTCTGACTCGCCATTTCACTCGGCTCAAAGCCCAACGCGCGTCTCGAAATATTTTGACTCGAGACGTGAGAGATCGTTGAAATGCAGACGAAGTCGTATTAACCGCCGTGCAACTCCGCCGTTGCCAGGGGCAGGGCGGGAAGTATCGAAAGCTTTCAATTTGTCGCCCATCGGAACGCAATTAGCGCGGACCGCGGCGCTACAACGGCGCGGCAACGAAATCCGAACCGCGGAGATTTAATGCCCCTTTTATGCACGCCGAAAAATTGACACCCGAGTCTCCGCGCTTTAATGCCACGACATTAAGACGATCTCAATGGGGACGATCGCCGTGGAATACCATGTGGGACGGAATGGGACGAGACGAGAAGGGGGACGAGACGGGACGGGGTACCGGCACATAATAAGTCGTGCCGCCTCGTGCGGGTATCTTGTGAAAGGACGAAGATAAAGGCCAGCGGTCCAGGAGCATAATTAAAACGCGTCGGGTGTCTCGCGTGCGGAGGCGAAAACGCGTGTGGGACGAGAGAGGAGAGAAAGGCCGTGTGGGTGAAAGAGAACATGGTGGAGAAAAGGAGGAGAGAGGGCGCGCCGAGAGGTGGACAAATTGAACTCGCATTATTGCTGTCAACAAAGCGGCGAAACAACGCTGAGGGATGATGAGAGGCGGGAAGGGGGTGAGGAGAGAGAGAGGGGAGAGAGATTTCATATCGCAAAAAAGCGCGACGCCTCGTACGCGCGAAAAATCAAACTCGCATTATTGCTGTCAACAAGACGGCGAAACAACGCCGAGAAACGATGGGGGGCAGAGAGAGGAGAGAGCGAGAGGAAGGGAGAGATTTGTTATTGCAAAAAAGCGCGACGCGTCGTACGCGCGAAAAATTGCGGATCGAAGTTTGGAGGATAAGCGCACGGGGAACGAATCGCGGATAACGGGCCGGGGGAGATAAGTGAGCAAAAAGTTGAAAAACGTACGGGCGATAAAAAGGAATTACGTTTGCACGTGTGACGGCGGGATCTTGAATTATCGAGGGGGGTAAGAGGAAGGGGTGGGAGGGGGAAGAGGGGATCTTGATACAGCCGCACTTTTGTCTTTCGCTGGTCGCGGACGTGGCGCGCGAGCGCGTCAAATCAAAATCGAACACGGCGCGCGTTCACGGTCGGTTATTTCATTATTCACGAGTATAATTCAGCCACGATCGAGTCCCGATTGCGTTGTCAAGAACACGACGCTATTTCATCCGATTAACATCGGCGTACTTTTTAAGCTCTCGCTGTCTGTCCATCTCCCTCTCTGCAGTCGCGTACGGCACCACGTACGATCGAAGATTATTTTAACGCGTTCGTCGAAGAGACTTGCCTCCGTGTCGTATTAATTTATCCAAGTACGCCATTAAGCGCAATGAAAAGGGAGCTTACATGAATATTCACTATGGAATTATAAAACACAAGACACATTAAGACAAAGAAAGAGAGAGAGAGAGAGAGAGAGAGAGAGAGAGAGAGAGAGAGAATGGAGTTAATTAAATAACCATCACCTCGAATGGGAGGCACATTTCGGAACGAGCGCGATATAACTCTCGCAAAAAACGCCATTAATACTTCTCTGCTAAGCAAGATTTCTCAAACCCCTTGTTTTACACGCCACGCGAGTGTGCGTTTTCATTGGACGTTAAAGACCAACAAACTCGACCTGATACAACGGCGAAAATGCCACGGGGATCTTACCGGTTCTTTTGAAACAAAAGGGTTGAAAGGGATTCCTCGCACAGACTTTACGAACGCAACACCGAATAAGTTCTCGCGCGATTCATCGACTCGGAATCGCCGTTGCGCTCGTCGCAATCGGATTTTTTTCCCGCGATCGCGAGACACAGAGGGAGAAGGAGACGGTGCGAACAATTCGACGTTTCTCTGGCTCTTGAGGAGGCGTTACCGTGGTAACAGTACGGGTCCGACTCGAGACTCGATTAGCAAAGAAAATACGAGAGGATCTCGGAAGCCCCGCTCCACGGGATCGATCTGCGGCCGAGAGGCTTTTAAGACGACCACGACCGCCTCCTCTCATTGTCTTTGGTAGAGTGACGAGCGACTCTCGCGCGGAAGCGCGCCTCCCTCGCGCTTGTATTTCCAAGTGAGAGCGATTTTTCTCACCCCGCGCCGCCCCCACGTCGATCCCACGTGTCGATGGACGATCAACAGGATCGCCGTTCGTTACCGAAGACGGAGAAGAGGGTGTGAGACGACGCCCGTGTCGAGTCGACCACGATCGTTACCCCAAAAGTGTTCCCCGCGTCTTCCCATCAATCGATCGGCCGCGGCGAATCGGAGAGTAGGATTCCCGATTCCCAAGATCGCAATCGCGGCTTTGTGAATTCTGCCGCGTTAACGAGTTAATTCTAATCCGCGATGGGGGTATCGCGCGACGAAATCTCTACCCTTTAATTGCCGCCTCGAGAATGCGCCGTTCAGGTGCGGGCTACATCGCGGCACCTTAGAACGGTGGCGTAATGGGCGACGGATCGGCATAATATTTTCACGCTGACGATGACGACGACACGAACGTCGCGGAACACAGGGTTACGTTACACACACGGCCATCCGTCATTCGGCGCGCGTGTGAAGTTTAGCGTGTTTTTCCGTATCTGTCCGTGATCTACCGAGTAATGAGGTGGATCCCTTCTCCCCCTCCGACCGCCCCTTCATGCGAGAGCCGTCGTCGGGGAATCGTCGTTACTCTCCCGTGAATCCTCGCCTCCACCTGGGAAGGATGAGCGCGCGCTCATTAATTATGGCAAGGCGCTCTTCGCGCCGCGATGACTGGAAACAAAGTGTTTTTAACGCCGCGTGTACATCCACGTGTGCACCTCCATACGTGCACAAGTATATACGTATATGCGTGTGCCACCTATATAAGCGGCGAACGTATTAAAATTCCCACCGCGAGCAAGCACACCTACGCGTTCTCCTCTGCTGCTGTTGCCTGCTGCTGCTGAGCAGCTGACCACAGTCTGGAGTTCAAGTAGCCAACGACCTCCTTCGTTGACCTCGCGTAAGGAGCCGACGGGGTTGCTGAAGTTAAAGATAGAAGATTCTCTTTGATCCTATGCACATGTGTACATGGGATAAAGCCAAGCCGGCCAGTGTGTTATATCGTGCGTTTTCGGCTTTCCAAACGAATCATTAGCGATCACCGTGAATAATTGCGACTTATTTATACTGACCAATAGAAGAGTAGAATTTTAAAATAATACAATTCAAGAATCCATCTGTGTCCTTTCTTACACACAATTTCCGTTCACTTTATGGATTTTTACATTTTCAAATTTTCACTCGCGGCTCTTCTTTTTGTTTGTCAACACGTTCGCGACTATCACTTATTCAAAAGACTCCTTTCCCTCATATTTTTCTTCTTTTTTTATGTGATTATATGAAACAAACTTTGGCTCGTATTAAGTCAAGTGCTTAAAACCTATTCTACGTGAAATACTCAAATCTGAATTTAGAGTTAGAGATGAGAGTTTTCTATTTGAATTATATAACACATGTGACATTACATTTGCAATCGCAATTCAGCTGAAAAACTCAGGTCTAACTCTAAATTAAAATCTGAGTGTCTTACTTGAAGCAAGTTTCAAATGACGACTATTAATATGGACCTTAACTTGATAATGTGGACATAGGAAAAAAGATCTGTCGTCACACATACGCGACGTTGGTGGCGTGTTAAGCGCCGTCGAATTTTCGATCATTAATTCGCTATTCTCATCTTTTTTCTTGCTTGGCCGCATAATTCAGTCGATTCGTATTCGACAGTACCGTGCGATCGTCGTAAATCGTTGCGTATGCTATTGTTTTTCAGGATGCAACAGCAATCAGGCCCAGGAAACGGAAACACGCGGCGCAACCTGAGCCCGGGACCCGGCGGCAGCGATTCCGAGGACTCCGACATTTCCCTCGGAGGAGCATCACCAGCGTCACCGAACGCCTCACCGCCACCGAACCACCAACCATCCCCGGTGCCCCTCGGACCCCTTGGACCCTTGCCAACCCCTTCCTTAAATTTCCGTTTCGATCCTACGCAGCCGCAGTTTCGGTTCGGCCATACGACGCCTTTCAAGTTTCCGCCGACGGGCTTCCGATTCGGACCGCATAGTCCGCAACCTAATCACCCGACTATGCCGAGCGGAGGGATTTTCAGGATCGCGGAGACCAGCCCTTTCCAGGCTATAGGGCCCAGGGGTGATGTAGGATCGAGGTATCAGCTGTTATGAGTTAGCAGCTGATCTCTTTGTTACCAAAATTATTCTCGAGACATCTTGTCGCAATACTCGTCGCGAGATTACAGCACACATTCACTCACCGCGTAAATAGAATTACTGTAGCGCGCAATTATACAAAAAAAAAAAAAAAAAAAAATATGCATGTAACCAGAAATATTGGGTTGTCCGAAAAGTCCGTGCGGATTTTCAAGCAAGATCCAAATGACAAGTTTTTTTAGTTAAAGATAATGTAATACATGTACCATTTTGTTTTTATTCCACACAATATTTTTCCATTTTTCGGATAATTTCATAATTCTCATGCGATCCATGAGATATTTTTTAACTAAATAAAAAGCGTGCATTTGAACATCGTTTGTCTGAGAAATCTGCACGGACTTTTCAGACAATCCAATAGTTGCGCGTGATCTGATCGGAGCAACCAGATTTATATGTGGGTTATTCATACTGTCCTTTCCGTAGAAAATTCACGCTAAAGTCATCGATACGAGACCCACTATTCTTGAGTCAATCTCGCGATAAGGTGTACGCCACATGTATGAACGGTATCAAAATCGCGCGATTCCGCTAAATTGTATCTTCTGCTACAACTCAGAGACCGCCTTCTCCTCTACTCCCTTGAATGTCACAACACACCCCCTCGTTCCTTTCGATTACAGATTGCCGGACCCTTTGGGACTGCCGCCACCGAGGCTCCACCCGCACGAGGGCCTGCTACACCACCCACACCCCCAGTTGACCGATGGGATATCCAGGATATCCGAGACGTCGCGACTGTCCGACGGTGGGCTCTCGCGGCTTTCGGACAGTCTGTCGGAGGCCCACAGCCCGCCATTGCTGGCGGCGAACCTGTCGGTCGCGGGTCCCTTGAGGGTGGCTGTGCCCAGCCCTGGCACCCCCTCCTCCCGGGGCAGCCCGCCCCCCCGGCAGCAGACACCTCAGGGTCAACCTCAGAGTCAGGGTCTGATAAGGGTCGCCACGCCGCCACCGCCGCCGCCACCGCCGCCACCACCTCTGCCGAATCCGAGACCGCAGATTCACAGGCCGTTCTCACCCTCGTGATTCGACGAGAGCGACAGGAGAAGAAACGCCATCTTTGGGGCAAACGATGATGCCGAGGTGTGACGCCGAGGTAAAACGACGCGCCATCGCGACGCCGTGAACGAGCGAACGTTCGTTCGTTCAGACAATGCTGTGAAGACACGGGGGTCAGGGTAATTTACCGGACGACAATCTGGCTTGCGAGAGGAGTCCTCGAATCGAAGGGGATGACGACGATGCGCAGAACAGTCGGATGTTTCAAGGGCGGCCTACGGCGAATCGGCTCCCCGTTAACCTCGTGAAGACTGACGCGACGATCGCGGAGGTACGGCAGGATATCAATAAATAACGAAGTCATCGCGCGAGGATTACGTTCGAGGAGAGCTGCGGCGAACGTGCCCCTCGAGATGACTACATCGGGGATCCTCCAATCGGTGCATCAATTTGCTTCGTCGAAGAAAGAAGCCCCAAGTGGTCGGGAAACGGTCGCTGCACGACGCGTATGTGAAAACGAGTCAGCGGCGCGCGATATCGTTAACGAAACAATCGTCGCGAGAGAGACCAGCCTCGAGAATACCAAGTGTCATTACGCTTTAGATCTTAGGGGAGCTCTCCTCCGCGCGCTCGGTGACGTGTGTGCGTTGGTCGGGACAGCCCGCGCAAAGAAACGGTCCCCGGTCGCGAAAAGTGCGGCAGGGGCGCCGGACAAAATAGACTCTTCGAAAAGTGAGTACAAGTCCATCGGATAAGTGCAATCCTCTCGGGTTCGAAGGAGAAAACGAACGGTCAGGGTGTGGTGGTGGTGATGGTGTGGTGTGTACATAACTTTCCTAGGCGACTCGCCTGATCGTCGAAGAACACCACGCGTAGTATATACAGTGGAATCCCCATAGATTGTAAATAGCGTCGCTTTTTAGCGCTCCCTCCCGATGCTCTCTCTCTCTCTCTCTCTCTTTCTCTCCCTCTCTCTCTCTCTCTCTCTCTCTCTCTTTTTCTCTCCTTATCGCTTGCCGTGATCGATTAGTTAAGCAGCGAACTGTACGCACGTCTCGCCGACGTGTTGAAAAGTGTGGCAATCGAATCTACCGCACGAGACGGCGTAACACGAGAGAAACGCGAGGGAACTTCGAGTTGAACTTGCCTACGGTACGGATATATCGATAAAAATCCGCGGAAATGTCGCGGCGGAGAGCACGCGCGCGATTTGCGTTTCCCCGAGCCTTTTCTTTTCCTTTTTTTTTTTTTCTTTTCTTTCTGTTTTAATCGGACAGAACCGCACAACAGAGCGAACGCGAGAGGAAAATGCGACCGATTGCGCAAAAGAGTCGCGCGCTGAAACTGCTGCAGTGACTCATATTTATCGTACGGTATATTCGATGTCGTCGTTGTGTGTATCTGTTAACCGTGCAGTTTGCAAGTGCGCACTTTTGTTCTCAACAAATCGAGTCGAAGTGAATTCTGCAATTTTAACTGAGATGGACAACGACAAGGAGAACCGAACGTTACCTTATCCCAGTCGAGATGTCACGTCTTGTGGATCCTGCAAATCCCGTCGAACTTGCAGGACTCCGGTCCTTGAAATTCGACGGAATCCGCGGGATTAATGTAGAGCTAAAATTTCGATTTGGAAAGGCCGCGACGTAACCGTTTGCGTTATTGCCGGGATAATGCGCGCGAGAAGAAGAGTTTTCGCGCTTTCTCTGTAGATAGAAACAGTTTAGCGAAATTCTTGTATAATCAGTCCGAGGATATAAATATGAAAATAAACAGTACGTATACTATGCGTATATATAATATACATATACATAGTATATATACATATACTATAGATAAAGACTCATGTAATTTACATAAAGACTATCAACACACGAAAATTATACATATATATATATATATAAATATATAAGAGAGGAGAGAAGAGAGAAGAAATAGAAAAAAAAGAAGAGAAAAATGGAACATTATTATAAATATATATATTATTAATATTATTAATATTATTATTAAAATATTATTTGTGCGCCTGTACATACACATTCGCGCAAATATATAATAACAGATTATTATGACATTACAACAGACCATCATGAGTATTTTGTTCGCATCCTCGCATCCATTATACGTCCTGCGTCGTCCTGACTGTTAAACGGGGTGGCAAATTTCGCGCGTAATCCACGGAACGTGTTAAACGCATCGACGCATTAAAATGGCTTAACATTTGCGCCCGCGCGATCCTACAACGTGTCGAACACGCGGTCTCATGAACAAAATTACTATCGCAAGTTCGGGCGGTGTGTTCCTCGCGCCGTTGCATCACGAACGTGTCCGGTGTTATTTCTATAACGGCGGAGCGCAATATTCACCCGAACACGATTACGATCGCGCGTGGATAATTATTGCTTCCTACGAAAATCTCCCATTACCAATTTCTCTCTCATTACGCTCGCGCGTGTGTCCCGCCGATTAAAACTATACTATGTATAGGCGCGACCGCGGAAGAGATAGAGGAAGAGAGAGAGAGAGAGAGAGAGAGAGAGAGAGAGAGAGAAAGAAAGAGAGAGAGAGAGGCGGGGAGAGGCAGAGAGAGAAGAAGCACGTCTCCTCGTGCTGAAATCGGCCGTTCTTCCCACAGATTCGCACGTCACACGCTTCCACGGCGCGCCGTCGAAAAATTGCGGAGTCACCGGCCGTTAACGATCTTAGAGTCGTGTCCCGGACACGATCTTTCTTTCTTTCTTTCTTTTCGCCGAAGGTCAAAAGCGAGTCGGTATAGGATCGGGTAGCGAGGCACGAAAACTTAGCACGGGACTTACGACGAAGGTAGGACGGGATTATCGGCGAACGCGCGCGACGGTGAGGGAGAAACAAATGGCCAGATCAGACCAGCGTGGCAGGTAAAAGGGTGACGTGTGAGAGCGAAGGCAGGAGAGAGGTGCGAACACAGTGCGAAAGGCAACACCAGCTAGGCGCAGACAGATGGAGTAGTTGCGCGATAACGCGGTGTGGGCGGGTATCGCTGACAAAATGCACCAATCGGCTGGTCGGGTCGCCTTGTAACCGATCCCGCGGGTTAACCAGGAACCAGGGAACATCGACCAAGACTCTCCCGTAAGGTCGATATGCCTAGAGCGCACGCCTAAGCTCTCTCTCTCTCTCTTTCTCTCTCTCTCGACGTCGACTCCACCCTGCTCTGATGCCTCCACATGCGACTGCTTCCTCTCTTTCTTTCTACGCTTTCTCTCTCTCTTCTTCGTCAGCGTCTCCCTCCTATTTTCCTCCTCTTCTGTCACACGTCGGATATCCCCGTTCTCTCCCCTTCACCTTCGAAGGTGCCCGGCAGCTGGGTAGATTTCCAGCCACGAAGATGGAGTCGTTGGGATGCGGGGAGTGGAGCAATACTCGCGAACTTTTATGTCGCGCTCTCGACTCCAGTCGAGTCGACTTGAGGCGGCTTTCAGCCGCCGCGGTGACTCTACGAAGAAATCGCGGGCACAGTCCGCGTGTCTGTCATCGTCGTTGTCGTGGGGGTTTCTTATTTACACGAGACATGCCAGATTCGCTCATGCTAGTTGTAGGGAAAGACGTGCGAGTCGCTTTGAAATACACTATATGTGAGGAAAGTTTAAGACGACGGTTGTGCAGGTACCATGAGACGCGGCGAATAAGCGCGATTCAACGGGAGAAACTCGAGCGTATGAACGTCTTTTTATGCAAAAAAGATACGAAAATAAGGGGTACTGATTGGGGACTTATAAAATTAGTGGTAAAATGTTAGCTGTGAGAAAATTCATCTCGGAACTGGTCGGGGAATTCGCGCGTCCACACAATCGACACCGTTAGTGAAGATACGATTAACTTGGCAAAACGGGAAGTATGAGACGCATCCTGCTGTGGAATCCGCGTGCTGCAAAAATAATATTTCGCAACGGGATAGAACACGGAATAGAACGGTAGCGACCCATTTGCGAAGAAACTGATGGTTTACACAAGTCGATCATATCGGCGACAACTCAACAAAAGAGCGACATGGGGTGAGAGGGAGAGAGAGCGGGGTGAGGGGCAGAAATGTTGAAAACGTTACGCAACAACCTCGGGACAACTGCACGCGTAGTTCCGCAAAAACACACGCGCACGCATTGTGCGTAAACGTGAGTGTTTCTGGTGCGTGGCGTGCGTTCGCAGGAATTTCGGTACGGTAGAATAAAAGGGATGAGTGTCGCGATTATCGATAGGCTCCGGTGGCGTGCACCGTTTTCAAGGTACATCCAATATGGCGTGAAAAGGTCCGCTCTGTCTCCGTCTACCCTCGCCCTGCTGTCGTTTATCTCCGTCGCTCGCTCGATGGCACGGTCGTCGTCTTGCCGGTCGTGTTTTGACAGTTGCTGCTCTGACACCTCTGGCGCATTCATTAGGAAGTGGTTCTCATTCGGCGCTGAAGCAGCGGGACGAGGCTCTCGAAGGGAGAGAGCGCTTTAAGGGCACAAACAATCGCAAAACGGTTTCGGCTGTTCTTCATGCGCACAACGCGCAAGCTACGCTTGACAATGCATCGCACGAAGCTCGCGGGAAAGTCAACTCAACGAGAGGTAAACGTCTGATAAATTATTCCCCAAACACTCGCGGAGTCGTTCTCGAAATCATTACAGACGACTACGAGAAATTGTTTAAGTGTAAACACGCAGAATTGGAAATACGCGTGTATCGCGTTGAAAACAATACAAATCGTATTATTGAAAACCATAAAGATCGTGGAGACGTAATACTCCGCGTCAGAGGCAACAGTTAGACGATAATTGGTAATATATAAATTTGATCACGCGCAACATCGTTTCCCGAAGTATCAGCCAACGTAAATGCATATTTATCGATATATTGGTCGAGAAACGGAACCCTCAAGGGCCGCGCGGAGAGCCGCTGGCCAGGCTCCACAGCTGTCCGGATTTAGATGTTTAGGATAATGCGGTGTGGCCGGGGACTTACAACGAAATAATGTAGTCCACTCTGAATGGTAGAGACGTGGAATGAGAGCGAA